ACTTAAGAGAATTGAGGACTACAAGTTCGACATATTACTCTTGCAAGAAACACGCACTGATGAAATTGACCTCTCTGGCTACCACAAGATAGCGAACCCAGCAATAAAACGCGCCGTTCCTGCGGGGCGACGTAACAATGATGGGGAAAAGGAGGTGAAGGCTCAGGTTAACGTGTTTATCAGTCAAAAGTTAGCCCTTCATTGTCATAAATACAGACAACTGGTGCACTGACTACCAAGAGGTGGTAGCAGTACGAATCGCACCCCAGACCACTCAAAGAAGACTAACGATTGCATCTGCATACGCCTGTCCCTCGAAACCATATGATCACTCATGGCTTAATTATCGCAAAGATCAATATGTTTGTATGTATCTTCTTTTATTTCAGACACAAAAAAAAGGGTCTGGGGGCTGGGGCAAAAGAAGACGAGTTGTCTTCTGACGAGGCTCCAGCCCCTTTTTCATAGCACTCGGAGGAGACACAGGAAAATAAACAGAATAAATATACAAAGATACAGCAATTTTAAAATCCACAACAAACACAACAACACACAACTGTCAACTTCGTACTAACTGCAGATCATGAGTGATTTAGCATATGTTCTACAATCCTTTTTTTAAAATGGAAAAACGAAATGTGTGCTTGGGCCATTTCTGCTATGTTTGGGTGTTTGTTTAGTAGATCTGGCACGAGATATGTAAGGTGCTGTGCACCGTAATTAGTTCAAACCCTGGGTTTCGTATACTGTGCATTTCTAAGACTGCAATTTGCCGAGGTTTGATTGAAGATATAAAGAAAGGGCGCTTCGTTTTGTCTAGTTTTATTAAAAATAAAAATAGATAATTTGAGAAGCAGGATTGGATCTATATTTAATATTTTATACTTTTGAAATGCTGGGAATGAGTGTACGTACCTTTTAAGGTTCTCAATAAATCGAACAGCCTTCTTTTGCAAAATAAATAGTTTTTCCTTATTCGTTTGTGTAGTGGTTTCCCATACTAACATACAGTACTGTAAGCGTGAGTAGACCAGCGAATAATATAATTGCAGTTTCACCCTTTTTGGTAGTAATTGTCGGAATTTGTTTAATATTTCTATTGCCCTTGCAATATCAACCCTCATCATTCTATGTGTACAGTCCAGCTGAGTGTTTCTTCAAACCATACACCAAGAAACTTGTGATATTTAACGCCTTAAATTTTTTCCCCGTCAAAAAAGATGTTCAATGTACGCGAAATAGGTTTGTTTTTTGATCTGAACAACACATATTTTGTTTTACTAGTGTTAAGATTAAGCTGGTTGCGCTTTAGCCACAATAATAATTTACTGAGCCAACTATTTGCAAATTCCTCGAGCTGACCCAGATTTCCACTAGAAAAGAAGACATTGGTATCATCAGCATATAAAATAATATCACGCGATTTAGGTATATTCACAATAGCGTTTATATAAATCACAAATAATAGAGGCCCCAGTATGGAACCTTGCGGAACGCCATATATTATCGGTGCGAGTTTAGATTGAAATCCATTAAGTACCTTATATTGAGAACGCGAATATAAATAGCTGCGAATTAATTTTAGTGCGTTACCTCTAATTCCGTACGCCGATAGTTTCTCCAGTAAAATTCTATGTTTTATTGAATCAAACGCTTTTCTGAAATCCAGGAAAATCCCAATGGTATATGCATGGTTTTCTATATTAGTAATTATTTTATCTTTGATATATATTAGGGCTGATTCGGTTGATTTCCCTTTCTGAAAACCAAACTGTTTGTCAGTTATAACATTATTGATAGTAAAAAACCTGTAAAATTTTGAATTAATTATTTTTTCTACAACCTTTGAAAAAAGTGGTAGTACAGATATAGGTCTGTAATTATTAAGGTTCTCATATGTGCCTCCCTTGTGGATAACACTAACTTTAGCAATTTTCATTTTTTCTGGGAATATACCAGAAACCACTATTTTATTACAAAGATCAACAAGAGGAGGCAACACTAACTCCGTTACTGCTTTAATAGCGGTAACCTTGATATCATCAACACCACTTGCGCAGTTATTTTTAGGGAGTATGTTGCGAACTTCTGTTTCATCTGTTGGTTCTAAAAATATTGAGCTTAATACCGGAACAGATGAGTAATGGTTATCATATACGGTCGCCGATTCACATGCACCAGATGACAGAAAATGTGTATTAAATTTATCTGCCAATAAAGCTTGCATACATAGAGTACCATCTATTTTAAGTTCTTCAGGGATGAAAACCGGATTTATTGACATTAATTTTCTCATAGTATTCCACAGCTTAGCTGGGTCTTTATAAATTTCAGAGAACGTAGATTTATAAAAGTTTATCTTCGCCTTTTTAATGTCAAGGGAAAGTTTGTTTCTGCATTTTTTATATTCCATAAGTAAACTCTTCTTTTTAGTTTTGATAAACGTTGCAAACATCTGATCACGTGCTTTGATTCGGTTGTAAAGTTCCAGCGTTACCCATGGCTTCCTTGACTTTTTATGTTTTTTAATCTCCGCTTTTGGGAAAGCCTTATTATAATATTCTTGAAGCTTTGATATAAAAATATCGTAAGATTTTGTCGGGTTAGGTTCCTTAAAAACATCATCCCAGTTTTCTGTCAAAACGAGATTATAGAAATCTTCCAAAGTGGTTGCGTTTATGAGTCTGAAAAATACTGGGTTTTTGCGCAGGAGCTTGTGCTGTGAATTGTGTTGGGGAAAGAAGCAAAAAAAAAACGGTAAGTGGTCGCTCAGATCTGCAGTTATAACTCCAGAAAATATATCCGTTTTTTGGTAATTCGTTAAACAAATATCGATTAGTGATTCCGTTATGGGTGGAACCAGCTGAACATTTAAGGAAGGAGACACAGAAAAGACAACCACTCGCTGGTTGTATTTTTTAGATTATACCCATAATGTATAATAACCAACTAGCTCAACTCATTCCTGTAATAAGTGATTCCGTACCTTCAGTTATGCGAGTGGGAACGCTGATTATATTTTCACATCCGCTTGCTTGAGCGATTTATAATAATGCTACACTCGCAGGTACATTGATCAACAGATCAATGTTCAAGTCTCCAACTAAAACTATTTTCTGATTTATTGACATAACATACTCAAGTAATTCTTCAAGAAAATTGAAAAAAAAAACATTTAAGGCACCTGAGGGTGGGCGGTAAACCGCAGCTATTATAAACCTCCGTAACCCACAACCAAAGATTCAAAATCATTAATCATACAAGTGAAATCATGCAGTACATGGTAGTTTAGTTTGTTTTGAATGTACAAGGCAACACCGCCCCCACGACGAGATTCGCGGCAGATAACTTCACATTTATAATCTTGGAATCGCACAATGTCCGATTCTCCTGAGTACCACGTTTCGGTAAATGCAAGAACATCAAACGGAGTACCCAAAGTGAATCTAGGAAAAAACATACTTCATCAGATTTATTCCGCAGACTCCGTGCGTTTAGGTGAAACAATTTTAGTGTTTTTACAGTGACTGCTTTATCAGTGATGCACCGATTGAATAACGCGCTGTCATAGTACGTAGGTTCATTATAATCGCGCGCCATTGTTGTGTTTATTTATTTAGTGGCTTTATACTTCCGGAATGTTTACTCAATTTTAGCCAGATCATTGTCATTGTCAATTCGGATAGGGCGATCGCCGGGTTGCTTCCTGACAAAAATCCTTCCGCCCTTCTGCCAGACAAACTGATAACGTCTTTCCGCTGCCTTCGTCTTTGCCCGCCAAAGCAATCTTTTTGTTTGCGCTGTTAGGTTGTCCATTAACCAGATACCCGACGCGTTATCTTTGAGTACAGCCCTTGCCTTGAACCATCGATCTCTAGTAAGTCGGGACGCGAAACGAACGAGAATCGGAGGAATCTTATCTGGCTTTCCGGGCATCCTGTGCAACGCTTCTACATCGTTTTCAGTCAGTTCAGCAACGCCTAGCTGGTCTGATACTTCTTTCAGTTTGTGCCACAGGTTTTCGTTTGGGAGACATGGAAACCCATGCACCTCAAGGTTGTCTGCGGCTGTATTGTTGAAGCTCATTTACTTCCCGTTTTAAAGCTTCGACTTCTCTTTGGGTTCCGCTATTTTCCAGTCTTTCAACACGTTCCCTGAGTTCTTTAATATCTTGGTTTTGCTTTTTCATTTCCACAAGTATCTCATCATATTGGTCTGACATGTGCTGCACAGACAGCTCAATTTTGTCTACTGTTTCTTTTATGGAGAGAAGCGCGTCCACTTTCGCTCCGATTGACATTAAGACATTCAGTTTTCTTGTTATTTCGGCCAACTGGTTCTCGGTTTTCTCTACCGGATCGTTTGATGAGGTTTGTCCCTTTACTTTTGCAATGGTGCATGTTGAACATTGCCAGGACTCTCTTGTTTCATCGGTCATGTTTTTTAGAGCACTTTTTGTCACACCCGAGTGTGGTTCTAGCTATCACCCATGTGATAGCTAAAACCACACTCTGAACAAGTCATGCACACCCCCACTGGCAAGACTTCATGGCAGGACAAACATTCTTCTGCCTCTGCCATTTTTAGCTTCTTTCTAATATCAACTAATAGACAAAAGCAACAGCGGCAGCAGCGATAGCAACACCTAAAAGATCAAGCGTATGTACCAACCTGTAACGTGGAGGGCAACAAAACTTAGGCGTCTGCGGAGCAACCTGCCATCGCTGCTACCGAGTGCTTGTGAAGCCTGTCGTTGAGTGTCGTGGCTTTTTCTTTGGTGTCCTGCGATGCTGTCACTGCCACGTAGTTCGTCGCAGCCAATCAGATGGTTCCCTTGACTTGCTACGATGACTCCGCTTGATCTTGGCGCGTGTGCAGCGATCAGGCCGGCGAAGCAGGGTAGATGAATCGCCTGTAACGTGGAGGGCAACAAAACTTAGGCGTCTGCGGAGCAACCTGCCATCGCTGCTGCCGAGTGCTATCCAGACGATTACCTCATCATGGGAGGGAATCTCAATGCCAGAATCGAGGACTGGGCTAATCTACAGCAAAACCGCAGGACCAAAGAACTTACGGAAGCAATAGAAGCCGGAGGTCTCGAACTCATCAACGATGTTACTAGACCAACGAGACACTCTCTAACTAGCTGTCAGTTAGACACCATAATCGACGTCACCCTGGCCACACCGACAACAGCTCGCAAGATAAGCTGGGATATGACGCAGGACGCTTGGGGCAGCGACCACTTTCCCATCATTATGGACGTCGCCATTGGAGGAAATAATCTTAAGCAAAAAAGGCCAACGAGAACAATAATCTGGGACAAATATAGGCAAAACCTCAAAGAACAAGGAGATGTCTTGGAACCATGTCAAATCACCGCACTACTCGCAACAGCTACAAAGATTGCCACAGAAGTAAGGCCAGTCTATGAAGACACGCCAGAACCAGACTACCATCTCCTCGCGTTATGGGACAAAATGACCAGAGCCTTAGAAAAATACAGACAAGGGAAACAGAAAAAACACCTAGACAAGGTCAACCGTTTAACGGAAGAAGCAAGCAAATACGCAAACAAATTATCCATCGACAGATGGCTAGGGTATTGCGAGTCCTTCGACGAAAAAACCAACCTTAGAGACGTGTGGAAGACATTCAACTCCATGTCAGGAAAAAAGAAAGGAGTCAGCCCTGTCCCGGTCATCGCACTCCTCTCCAATGAAAAAACGGAAGAAATTCTCAACAAATTGGGAGACATCTTCTTTCCACAACCCCCAACGAAACCGGAGGCAATCATTTACCACCCAACCCATTCGGGACCTGCAGACAAGCCGGAAGACTTCCCCTTCACAGAGTGGGAACTCGGAGCGGCGATACAACAGTGCAGAAGCAAGAGTGCACCTGGAGAAGACGGAATTACAGTGCCCATGCTCAGAAACGCACCCCTGACCACCTGTCTTGTTATCCTTAAATGGTTTAACGAAATCTGGGAAAGCGGGCAACTTCCCGAAGAATGGAAGGTGTCCCTGGTCACACCAATACCTAAACCAGGGAAGCCAGCAACTGACCCCAAAAACGTCCGACCTATTTCCTTGACCTCAATCATGGGAAAACTTATGGAAAGAATGGTGCTCGCACGGATTCAGCACAACGCTGAAACCCTCGGCATCTTTCATCCAACGCAAACCGGATTTAGACCGAATTTGTGCATACAGGACAGTCTGCAGATGATATACACAGACGTCATGGACATGCACCCAGGAAAAAAACAAATGCGAGTGATTGTATCTATCGATATAAGAAGGCTTTCGATTCTGTCCCCCATCAATCAGTCATTGGCAAGATGGAGCAGCAAGACCTCACAGGTAAACAACTAGACTTCGTGAAATCATTTCTCTCAGAACGGGTCTACAAAATCCGAGCTGGATATGACAAAGAGTGTGGAGAAGGAACCCTTCAAGAAAACAACATTGGAGTTCCTCAGGGCGCCTGTGCTGTCACCTACACTATTCAACATCGTTATGGCACCACTCCTCTGGAAACTTTATAAAATACCCAACCTCAGGGCGACGATTTACGCAGATGATATCACGATCTGGACGTATCAAGGGCCTCCCGAAACCCAAGTTGTCGCTTTGTAGAAGGGACTCGACACCATTGAAGAATATCTTGCTGATGTGGGAATGTTCCCATCGCCAGAAAAAACTAAATATACCATCTACGGCCGCAATCAAGACAACAAAAACCTAGGTCTTACCTTTGTGGGAGACCCATTCCAAAAAGCAGACTCCGTTAAAATCCTTGAAATTTACTTTGAGTACAAGCCAAGAATAAGCAAAGGTTGGCTGGCCGAGATCTCCAAGAAATGGAAACAAGGTATCAATCTCGTCCGAAGAATATCCACGAAAATGGGAAGAGCTGGGGAAAAAACAGCAAAAAAAAAACTCGTGACTGCAGTGCTCGTATCCAAAATAGCCTATGCGGCGAGATTCTACCGGCTCACGAAGACCCATCTTCCCAGATTTAAAAAGAAAAACCATCCTTGGGCTCCCACGCCACACTTCGGCAGAGGAAGTAAGCAAGTGCATCTTCCCCCAGAACTTACAGACCTCATGAACCAACAAAAGGAGGCTCAACTCTCCCGTCTACAACATACAACCGAGGGAAGAAAAATTGCTAAGTACATGGGAATCGAAATACAAGAAGACGCCCCCATATTACCGAGGAAAGCACTGTGGGAACTCATTGACGTAACTCACGGGTGCAAACCTCCCCCAAGAAACATGGACGCTGCGCGCAGAAGAAAAGACGAGAACCCTACGCTCGCATGCACAAGAAGGAGCTGGCTAAGCTTGTTGAGGACGAAAAAAACATGATCGCCTATGTGGACGCCTGCATCTCCTCTATGGGTTGGGCAACAGCAGCCACATACATCCAAGGGAATGCGACCTGGACAGAGACCCAAGGTAACCCTCGAGGCCACCACACGCCGGGCTTCGCCGAACGGGAGGCGGTACGTGTTGCAAGCCATCCGACGGGCAGTACCCCATCTACAAGACGAACAACAGCTATTCGTCTATACCGACTCGCAAGACACCATCAGAGAACTCAAGAAATACAGGTCCTCTTCTAGCCCCACCATTGACGCTATCTTCGCCTTCGCGATCTCGCTATACAGATCCAAGAAAATTCAAATTAATGTCAGGTGGACTCCCGGGCACGAAGGCATTTCGGGCAACGAGCTAGCCCATGAGCCTGCACAGCAGGCGATGAGGAATCTCACACAACCGTCCCCGTTGTCTCAGTCCTCTACGGCAGGCTCAACACCACAGCAACAAGACACTGAGCTTCCCCCATACGATCCAAGGGAGGAACTCAGGTTAGCCCAGAAGACACGAAAACATCTTCTGGCGAGATCATGGACCCCAGAACAACATCCTCTCCCTAGGGAAGAATTCAAGAATAAGAATCAGTGATCCTCCGCCGCATACGCACAGGAGGAGCAGTCACACCGAGGTTCAGATACCAAATGGACCTGGCAAGACTTTAGAAACAACAACCCTATGCTGTCCCTCCCGACCCCAGATGCCAGCGGTGTCAAGCCGAGGAATCCATTCCCAGACTTAAACACATACTCGGGGAATGTGAGGCCCTCTCCACCCTCAGAACACTCATCTTCAGTAAGGTGGCGAATGACGAAAGACCTTCAAAACTGCAGGACTGGACGCACCCAGCGGGCAACACCTCACGCAAGACCAGGATCCTCAGATCTCTCTTAGAGTATATTTCTGAGGGATACCTGGGAAACTCCATCTAACACCTTTAACCTAGGAGACGACTCCGGAGATATATATTTTTTCCTTAAATAAACGTATTCACCACCACCACCTAGTGTTCTCTTTTTTATGTGCCTTGTGTGTATAGTTTTAGTTCTAGCGTCCCAGCTTTTTGTTTTATCCATCACCTGTATGACGATTCAGCTACTATATAGGCTGCAAGCGCGAGCTCTACGCACAGTGTTGCCAACCTCAGCGCTCGTTTCTTCCCCAATTTTTATCGGAAAATTTGCTCGATTTCCCTAGATTTTCAAAAAAAGTTTTATTTCGCGTTAATATTGAGATTATCGTTATGGAGTAGCTTAAGAAGAGGTGCCTGTAGTTGGGTGGCCATTGAAAGGTTAAATTTGCTTCGTTAAGATCTTTTTACAAAATTAAAGTTTGTTACTTTGGCCTTGTGTGGCCCCCCAATATCGCTGTTGTTACCACCCTGACAATATACAATTGACCTTTTTCAGAGATCGCTGGGCGCATGCGCCGACTCTGAGAGAGGAGAGGAAAGGGAAAGGCGCCATTTTTGGTGGCTCTCTCGCCCGCTCGGTCGCTCAGGCAGTGCTGGTTATGCTTGACTCCTCCGGTATTCTCGCGGCTTGGCTTCATAGTCGTCATGCCTCACCACCGCGCAGCAGAAGGTTGCACAAATAGAAGGAAACATTGTTAAAATGCCAAATTTTATAAAGTTTTGTAGCCTTTGGCGGGTGGTGCACGAAAGCACCCGATGTCAAACACCCCGCCCTTTTTGCCCTGCTTTCAAAAGCCTATGACGAGAGTCCCCGTGTCAGGTGGCTGGATCATCAATGTGACGGCGGGACATTCTGCTTTTAACTAAAATACAGTAAATGTGAACATGATGGTATACCTGAAATTGGGGTAGGAAAAGGAAAACGCAAAAGGACACACAAAAAGAACAGGCCACGTCTCTTGAGACGTTGCCCCTTTTTTCTTTGCGTTTTCCTTTTCCTACCTCAGTCTCAGGTTTAATAATTGAAAATGAGCGTGTTGGTGAATAGATACGAATACATGAAATGATAAAACATCAAGGACGGGGACGTATACAGGACTTTTTAAAAGAAGTACTCTTTCCGTCCCTGTCCTCGGTGTTCCATCAAGCTTTCATGTATTCATATATCAAGTTTTTCATCATGTTAAACTTACACCAGCTCGCCTGCACTCAGACCATTTTTTGTTAATAGTAAACGTGCAAACGACGTTGTGTGACGTAATCATGCCGTACCCGGTACTCAATTAGAAAATAACAACATAACGCTTTCATTTAAAGCGAGCGAAACGAATTTAAGCCTTACGGAGACAGACTCTTGATGAAATTTGTTGGCAACCAACCGTGAACCCCCTGTTTGCTGGGCCCACTTTGTCGAAGGTTCGTAAACGTGCCGAATTCAAAGATGGATTGTTTCTAACATACCGTTCCTTACTTTTTGTTGGTGCAGGCAATCCTTCGCGATATCAAGACGGCCCGGATTTTGCACCGTCCGAGTTTGTTTACACATTCCCGAATACGGCAATGCCCCATGCCCTCGCGCGGTACACAGGACGGCGAAGTGACGGACGCGATAAGCTTGAATAACTTAAGCGATCAAGGGGAGTAAAATCAGCTGTTTGTAGTGACCGGGCCTCGTAAACGGAACTCACAAGCTCCGCACAAGGTGGATGGTTGGGTCGGTATCCAAGCTAGTCACCATTACTTTCCTTACATAACACTCTGCGACTCTGCTTTGAAAGCAGACCCCCTTTTTAGTTGCTTGCAAGACGCGACACCGAAGTGACGATGAAGTGGCTCCGAGTCGATGGTAAGAGCCGATGCGGCGTCTGCGGTCTATCCATCCCTGAAGGTATAAAAACGAACAAGGTCCTCTGTATCCTAGACATTGACTTTTGTTAATCCTCCAGGTCGTTCTCAGCCATTTCGAACAAAATATGCACGCGAAGCGACGACAGAAAGACACGTTCAGATTGGTGAAGGATGGAACAACAACACCAGAGAACACACATGGACCGGTAGACAAGCCAGGCCTGGCGCGGACGACGGAGAAACGTTCCCGGAGCCACCAAAAGTGTTTCGAGCGATTCCCGCGAGGGCGCGCCACGATCGTGGCCAAACTCTGAAAAAGGTCAATTAAGAAGCCTTTTTCGAGCTGCACTCGCCCGGTACGAGGAGCAAAAAACGGAAGGACCGTGTCTCTAAAGCCCTCTGAAACCCATTAAAAACAAATTTCTAGATTTGAACAAATTTCTTTTTGCCTTTAAATGATGACGGAAATTTCTAGATCTCGGGAAAAATCCCTAAGGTTGGCAGCACTGTCTACGCATGTCGGCTGCATAAACTCTCGTTCAGCAGGAGCAAATGCCAAAGATAAAAACTACGAGCTCACAATTTTCGATTTTAAAAATTATTGCCATGAAAATATAAGTATTATTTTCAGAATGCTGCCATAAAAATTGTCAGAAAAGCGAAAGCAGTTGAATGAAAAACATTTTTTTTTTCATTTAGAAACGTTAAGCTTTATATTCATCCCCGAGTGAATTAAGCAACGCTTAACGACAGCGTGTTTGCCCTCTGGTTCTATTAACAGAATGTCAGCACGTTG